CGATGGCCTGACGATTGGACAAGGTCGTGGCGGAAACCCCCATGTCTTTGGCCAAGCCATCTAAGAAGCTTTCCAGCAGCTTGCAGGAGGGGTTGGCCTGGACTGCCTCCAGCATTCGGGTGCGACTCTCAACTCTCTGCTTACCGAACTTTGCTGTGCTCCACGGTGCTCGTGAGCTTCTGAAGATTTTCGTCAAACGTTTCATGAGGCTGCTGGCTTCTGGCATCGACGAGATCGCGAGGGCCTGCTTCCTGTGAAGCTTATGGAACAAGTCCGCCCACATAAGGGCCCTGCAGCCCTCGTTCGCCATCCACAGCCAGGACAGGAAGCCAGGAGTGCCTTCGTCAGCCGAGAATATCAGCTGCATCACGTCGCGATCGCAGTGCGGATAGAAGTCCGGCGTGCAATCCCCGGTGCAGTCGTCGAAGAGGAAGAAGCGGGCCTTGTCCTCAGGCTCTCCCATGATCCTCTTCTCAGCGGCCGTCATCTCCAAGCGGATCCGTTTGCCACGGGGGGCCAGCACCTGGTCCGGCACCGTCTGCGCAAACGAGAAGTCCGGGAGCAACACGGACAATGCATTCTTGAGTGCATGCAACTGCTGCTTTGTGCTGGCACGGTAGGTAAGCAAGTGTTTGGCCGTGTTGACAAGTTTGCGGCCTTTTTCTGGAAGACCGCCTTCAAGAGCCATTTCCAATGCTTTCATCGTAGTAGCGGAATCTCTCATGGGAGCGGTGTCTGGGAGAATTTGCACCAGAGCCCCCTGTGTGTCTTTGCCCACACGGATGATGAAGGAGAGCACCTTCCAGCTGTGTGCTCGCAAGTGCATGTGTTAGACTTTCCACTTCCGGCCTCCATCTTGCAAACTCTAGCTGCGTCCAAGCAAAAGTTGATGCACTTGTAGGCCTTCTGCGAATTGAGGTGTGCTTTCAAGGCCTCCGAAGTTTTGGCAAAATACCTTATGAGGAACTCGCCGGAAGCCCTTTGTGCCACTTTTGAGCCCTCTGCCACAAGCCCCAGCCGCTGCAACTCCAGCTCATCTTTGGTGGATGCAAACCCTCCACTCTTGGCACCCCAAGTAGTCAGAATCCTATCCCGAAAAACCGGGTTGCCACGGCTCCGACTGTCGCGAGAGAGCGGGTGAAAGGTCGTGCGCCGACTGGGGTTCGGGCAGGTGCTCTCCAACCGGCTTTCGGGCTTCTCCAGTTCTAATTCCAAGTGCTGACAGAACATGAAGATCAGCCTCCGAGTCAAAGCCGAGACAACTGCATGTTGTCTCAGACTCTGTCTCTGCCTCGCTGCCATCATCAAGAAAACCAGCTTGCCGACCGTTAGCACCACACGGTCGTGAGGAAAGTACCTCAGCGAAACTGCAACACACCCCCGGATCGGAGATGTTGGTTTAGAAGCGAGAGAAGCTGCGATCTCTATTGAGACCAGCTGCTTGCCGGTTAGTTGAACGAGACCACCCAGCTGCAAGAAGTTCAAGGCTGCATGCCATGCATCCACACTGACTTCATTGTCCTTGACCTCTAAGTGAGTCTGGGCCACATCCCTCAGGAGCTTCAAAGTGCCGGTGTAGTTGCACTGTCTCTCCAGGACTGTGATGATTCGCAAGGCTGCTGTCACTGAAGCGGCTTGAAGGCCACGGTTCAGGAACAGCGAACCAACACACATGAGCATTCCTGGGGCAGTACAGCAATCCACAGGCACCTTCAAAAGGGCCCTCTCGCTTTGCACACCCTTGTAGCTGGACTTTCGGACCACCTTAGCTTGAAACGGAGCAAAGTGGCATGCGAGACTTTTGACAAGGTCTGACCTGTCAAAGTCAGTTGAGATTTTGCCGCGACACATGACCTTTCTGACAAACCCCAATCCTCCAACTGTGGCTTCCCGGAGGTGGCCCAGTTCTTGCTATACCATGAAGCAAATGGAGTAGGGAAACTCCACCACTCGCTGCAAGCGAAGTAGTGACGATATCCATCTAGAGCTCCTGCTTCGGAGACCTGCACCAGCACGAAGCATGTCTGGCGGAGAAAAAAAAGGTACTGTCAGGAAACAGCAAATGAAGCAGACACAGCCGAACCTTCAAAACTGACCACACATCAGCATCCACTTGGAGAAATTTCCACTGAAAGTCCGGGCTATCCACTTCAACTGGTGCTTGGGGTGGGGCAGCTCGCTGCTGCTCGCCAGGCACAGTGTCAGTGTACGGCAACGGGGGGATTGGCATGATGACATCATCTGTGGCGTCCTTCGCCAGCTGCACAGCCTCCCTCAGTTGCTTGAGGCTGACACCTTCCTCTTGTGCTTGCGTGAAGAGATCAGCAACCAGCGGATGTGTTTGTTTGACGATCTCTTCTGCGGCTTCGTCTGAGTTTGCACGAATGACCTTGCGATCCTGTTCATCGAAGAGTTTCTTCAACTTGTCAACCACCCCATTGATGGCCTGCCACAGCAGGGTATTCAAATACCACACTGGCAGCCTAGTCCACAGAGCCAGGCCTGCTGCCAGGGTGAAACCGCTTGCTCCGGCGGGTCGGACATCTCACCGAAAAAGCATAAGGCCCAGCTAGGCTTCAGTTGTCATGAGTGTCTTGCGGCACGGCCATGACTGAGAAATGTCTGCTCTTACTGACTGAGTGAACACTCACGACTCTCATCCCTGCAGGGCAAGCAAAAACTGCAGCAACCACAACAAGGCACAGCAAACGTTGCTGCAGGCATAGCTCATGTGCTCGAAGTGTCAGCGGAGCACAGCAGCTGCTTGCTTAAGGACTCCCCGGGCCCAATCTTCTTGGGCAAGGGATGCAGTCCACAAGAAGCAAATTTATGCAGAGGATAACACTGCTAAGACCTTGCCCCACCCATTGAACTGTTGATACCAATGTCCTATGCGGCTCGCCTGAGAGCTGTTTTGAAGGATTGTCCTTCGGGCCCATGTGCGGAACGAGTTTCTTCCAAGAAGAGCGTTCGCGTTGCGAAGAAATACTCCTACCCTGTAGCTTTTTTTTTCTTCCGTTTGCCGTGGCGGCAGAATAAAAGAGAAGTGCGTTGCCAGCGTAGAAGAGCGTTCGTTTAGAAGATTGCGCGGTCCAAGTTTCTCAGCTCCGGACATCGGTGCTTATGCTTTGGCATTCCAACCCGGTTTCTTGGGCGGCACGTCGTTTCAACGTTCGTGTTTTCTTGCTGTTTTCAAAGGCTACGAATCCCCTAAGACGATTCTGGCGTAGAAGAGCGTTGGGCTCCAGGCAGCTGTCCAAGCAGACCGGTGCCCCAGTGCCCGGTCTGACCCACCCCGATCCCAGAAAACTGTCTGGAAATATTCTTCTTTAGGCACGGAAACGATAAGTCGAGACAGCACCTTCAGCCTGTAGGAGAGAGAGAGAGAGAGAGAGAGAGACAGAGAGAGAGAGAGAGAGAGAGACCCCTGCCAGCTCATGCACGGCAGTCATGTTTCAGCCAGCACGAGTTGTTGTATCTTCCAGGATTGCACAGCTACTCCCAGAATCACAGAAGGAGCTGATGACGTGTCACACAACTTGTCTGAATGCCCCTTCAGAGCGGATCACTCAGGTCGGGAACAGATATCACTGATATGACCTTCGGCAGCGGACTGGCCACGGATCAGTTGCCCTCCTCCTCCTTGTCAGCGGAGTCTGAGGCGTAGTCATCTTCGAAGGCCTTTGAGAACAGAACAAGAAAGGAAATCCGAGCATTGATGCTGTTCCATGACACACAACTGTCGAATATCGAGGTGCCCCACGCGGCAAAGATGACTTCTGGACTTCTTCAGCAGAAGGAGGTTGGCGACCTGAAAACGAGGTTCTTTGCCTCCACCCCGAAACAGAAGCCACAACAGGGAAACCTGGTGTTGTCATCGGTGTCGACGGTGCCGACTTGGCATTCTCCAGTGCACCTAGGATCATCAGTGAATTGTTTGCACGGGCCATTCCGGGTTTTTTTTTTGAGCCCTTGCAGATAACAAGTTCAACAAATAGACTCCGAGAAGGCCCGTGGGGGCACCCCGGTAATGGCATTGTTACCGGGCCGGGTTGAGGGTTGCAGTCTGGGCAGTCGTGGGACCTGACTAAGTCACGAAATAATGAACCTCGGAGGGGCTTCTGACTCTGGCCGGCTTCCACTGCAAACAACAAAGCACTCCAAGAAGCCCCGTCCTCAATCAAGGCCCAGAAAATCCTAGGACTGCTTTGTTTCGGTGTTGCCCGTCCTGGGGTGGAGGGGGGGTGGGGTGGGGCGGGGTGGGCCCAAATAAGGCCCACATAAGCCCCAAATAAAAATCAATGACGTCGCGACCACTTGATTCCCCAGATTAACCGTGGACAACTGCTTCACTCCATTAGGAAGCTGCCGAGAAACTTTGCAAGGCACGAGGCCTCGGAGGAGACAGTAATCTCTGCTCCTCTTCGAGAAGCAGGCTTTCCTGCGAGAGCAATCAGGGAAGGGAAGCTAAAGTTCTGACAGCAGCCAAGATAGAGTAGCTATTGCACGACAAGCTACCCGGTGCAGCTTGAGGTAGCTGCACCATGAATGGAAATTCTTGCGTGCACCGAAAGACAAGGACTTGAAGAGGGCGAGAGAAGTTGGCCCAAGCTCGGAGTGGCACCACCCAGGATCTTCCCCGAAGGCATCTTCCAAGAACGATTTAAAGGATGCCTGCAGCAACGGGTCGGACGTTCGAGAGATCTGCAGGGAACACGACTTTATGAGCAGATTGATGAGCAGAATGTTCGGGCCTGCAATCCATCTGCCTTGATCATGGAGCTGAGCACGACTTTATCTGCATCGGCAGGGAAGTACCGAGCCACGTCTGTTCCATCAGCACAAAGCCACTCCAGAATGTGATCTCCGCCGACAACAGGCGGCTTTTCTGCCTCCTACAGACAAGATAAAAAAATAAAAACATGAGGTATTTCTCATTAACAGGAGAGCAATATCTCTGGCAGAAGTTTGCACATTGTTTGCAATCCATTATCCTGGTCCTTGCCGCTGCGATTCGCCTTCAAGGCAAAACGTCCCTGGGTGAGGTCACGATCATCCAAGGCCTGATTGCTGAAGCGGCGCTCGAACTCGCCTCCACCCCGGGAGGGCTTCCGGAGAACTTTGGAGGATCTGCTCGATGGGGCCTCCTCCGGGTGCTCACTCTGGTCGTCGTCCCTTTCCTTCTCGGAGTCGCTACTGTCACCTCTCCTGCTCTTCAAGCGTTTGAGAGGGGATCTGCCCTCATTGACAGAGGCCATCTCCTGTTCATTCTCCACAAACCAAGATTTCATCTTCTGGTTTCCGGCTTCGAAGCGTTCGGTTCTGGTTTCCTCGGAGACTGCTCGCATTTCAGCAGCAAGAAACCTCAGGCACCAGCCCCTGGAATTTCTGAATTCAGTTTGCACCGACTCGACTCAAGTGCACATTGGGGCCAAGGTGCATCTGCACACTCACCAAGTGAGCATGCTGTCGAACGATGGTGAGGTCATTCACACCAGTCACTTAGATAGGAAAAAGGCACGGCACTGCTCGGGCACCAGAGGAGACATCACAGCCAATGCATCCCAGGAGCCGATCTGCATGAGATCCAACAGTCTCTGCTGCCAGAGACGTTCAGCAGTGGATTCCTTCCGAAGTGCCTCGATCTTGGCCTGCATGCTGCTTTCATCGTTCTTGCCAGCCGCAGCGTGTGCAGCCTTGACCTGCGATGTCAAGCTCTTGCGAACCTGTCAGGCAGCAAGGCCATGATCGGGTATGAGAGCCATGTAGCAATGTACAACCGAGGAGTCGTGAAACACAACCTCACAACCCAGTCTTTAATCAACACCGGCATACCGAACTCATGCACACACTGCTACGGCAGCTACATAGTGAAGGCACGTGATAGAAAGCACAGCAAGACACTTGGAACGGGCCGAGAGAATTAAAAAGAGAGGGAGAGAGCGAAAGAAACAGAGAGAGAGAGAGAGAGGAGGGAGAGAGATAATAGAGAGAGTAGAGAAACGACAAGGCGGGCTCCAAAATGTGACCAAACTTGCTCGTGTCATGGTTGGCAGACAAAGAGAGCGAGAGCGAAAGAGACAGAGAGGAGGGAGAGAGATAGAGAGAGTAGAGAAACGACAAGGCGGGCTCCAAAATGTGAGCAAACTTGCTCGTGTCATGGTTTGCAGACAAAGAGAGCGAGAGCGAAAGAGATAGAGAGGAAGGAGAGAGACAGACAGAGAGAGTAGAGAAACGACAAGGCGGGCTCCAAAATGTGACCAAACTTGCTCGTGTCATGGTTGGCAGACAAAGAGAGCGAGAGCGAAAGAGACAGAGAGGAGGGAGAGAGAGAGAGAGAGAGGCATGCACACACACAAACACAAATGAAGATACACAAATTTGCGGAAATAGCAGCAACGATATATAATCCAGACCTGCAGAACATCTCCTCCCAACTTCAGCAATGAGTTGCATGTCATCGCCGGCATCAGTCCCACAAGTGCAGTCGCGAGTTGAGGAGCACCGAGATCCCGCATGTGGCAATGAGTCCGGGAATTTATGGTCAGGTCTTTGGGCTTCCTGACAGAAGAGATGTTTGGATAGGCTCAGACAGCAAGTGGATGCACATAGCAGGTGCAGAAGATACGGGCAAGGCTGAGGAAGGCACAATCCGAAAGCCAATGCCGTAGACAGCATCTGCTCCTTGGCCTTTAGGAGCTCGGGGTTCTCTTCCGAAGAGCTGGATGTATCCGGATGCGAACTGGATGACTTCTTCTTGGATTTCTTGGAAACCTTGATTTTCTTCTTATCAAGAGCCTGAGACTTCTTCGCACCCTTCTTCTCCTTCTTCGAGGAGAGTTTTCCTTTCCCCATCGGAGGCTCCACGATCCAGAAAAGGATCCCTCAGGACTACCGGAAAAATCAAGCCTAAGCTCAAACCGAAAGGAAAGCCGGGTCCTGCCCTTTCATGAACGGTCGCAGAATAGTCGCACCATGCTACATTTACAATCGCACAAAAGTCACATGATTTTCAGTGCCACGAACACAGCCTTTTCGTCACCGTGGCACCCACCTGCTGTCTGCGCCGTGCAGTGCAAGGCACCGGCTTTGGCCGTGATTGCGGCCTCGGGTCAGACACTCTCTCGGGATTTTATTGTTGTTTAGTCAGTTCGAGGCTACTGGGGATGTAGGGTTTAAGTTTAAGTGTAAGTCGGAGTGGAGGAGTCGGAATCGGAGGTGATTTGCGCCCTGGACTCAGCTGAGAATGCATCAACTGCTTCAAAAGGATTCGGTTAATGGCAATCTGGATGTATGGCTACTCGGGCTACTTGTTCCTCAAGCTGCACGACCCCAAGCAGGCGGATGTTGCTATAGCACAGTGGACTGATCTGAACAACCGATCCCCATAGCTGGCCTACACTGCCCACGAAAAAGGCTTACCCCTTGGCTCCCTTGCTGTTCTCAACAGCCTTCGGTCGGTCCTACTGGTGCAGCGGATTCTGGAACCGGTCTGACAAAAGCAATACAGAATCAGAACGAACAAGAAAACGAATCAGCATCCCCAAACTATTGTACATCTCCAAGACCTAAATTAATCGAGCGAACATTGCAGATTCCTGGGACGGCGTCGTGCACTGGGGTTTTCGGCTGTCGGGCTCAAAGGTAGGGTTTAGGGTTTAGGGTTTAGGGTTTAGGGTTTAGGGTTTAGGGTTCTAAACCCAAAACCGAACAGCACGACTTAGCCCGATTGCTAAGCGTGGAGAGCCTAATTACGAATGCCAGTGCATCATTGCGATGTGTTAATCAAAGCTAAGGGATCTAGAGATTCACGCTGATGGGCGGCTTTTCGACATCAAACACGAGTGCGAGGGTTCTATAATGCCCGGCCGAGCCAAGCGACAGCAGAACTACACGAAGTGAAGCGGCCCAACATAACACCCAACGAAGAACCCTCAATGCTCACTGAAGGACGAAGAACCATAAGTCAACCCAAGCCCAAGGTTGAATTGCAAGTCGCTGGAGCTCTGGTGGCCACGACCACCATCGTGGGAACCTGAGGTGAATTGCTTGAGTGAACGAAGTACCAAAGTCAGGGCACAGCAACGTAACATTGACAGCCAAGGCACTGATGAAGTCCAGGTCGCATAGAGCCACAAGCCAAGGTCCTGGAAGAAGGGATGCAAGCAACCATTATTATCACGGAAAGTATGAAGTTTCAGTCCACAAGGCCCTAGATCCTAGAAACCGACAAGGGGGGCTGACGATCAGGCAACTCAGACACTCTTCTTTTCACCACTATAGCCAGTGCTCGGTACCGCCGACCGACTTTTGGAGGTTTCGGGCATGAAGGCATCCGTCCAATCGCTGCAGTGCAGTCATCATCTCATTCCGAGTCGTCGTCCAGCCTCCGACGTTGGGCAGGAGGCAGCAAATCAGCAGCTGGATAAGGAAGTCTTCGCCGACCTATGAACCTGGCACCACTGTTCATCACCTGCGCCACCCTGAGTGTGGGAGGATAAGGGTTGCCAGGTGTTCCAGGCGCAGCAGAGTCGTCTGATTGATCATCGTCCTGGCGGTCCCGCTCCTGCCTCTGCTGCTCATCTGTGGGCTCGGCTTCCTTCTGATCCTCCTTCTTGTCGCCATCGGCCTTTGGCTTGTTCTCCTTCTCGCCATCGGCCTTTGGCTGCTTCTCGCCATCCTTCTCGCCATCGGCCTTCGACGAAGACGACGGCTCCGACATTGACGGCAAGAAGCAGCGGCAACTCTGAAAGACAAGTGTCATCTGACTCTGGCTGTCTTTGTCTAGCTCTCCTTCATTGACTACATCACACCCAGAACGTATGACTGTGACCTATATAAGGTTTCGGGAATGCTCGAATGATTTGCTGGCTTCGGGCTGCGAATCCTGCAAGGTCACAAAGTGGCCGCGACGGGTGCTTTCAAAGGCTACTGACTGTGCGACATCACGACTGGCTCTGGTGTGTTTGGGGTTTGGGCTTCGGGCTGTGGGATGCAAGCAGCTAAGCACAAGGAACCAGCCCGAATAAACCGTACCCAGAATGACTGCCAGTCCTTCATCCACAGGATCACGGCACCAGCGAAGAGCTCGAAGACGCCACAACGTAGCCTGGCAGAGACTAGACTTCGTTTCAAGCCCCCGCAATCACCAGTCATTCAGGACACTCACGACAGCGAATCTTCTCCAGCCCAAAACGAAAACCCTGAAGACCCTCTGACAAGGCTTGCTGGCCGAAACCCTCAAAAATCCGCTGGCCTCTCCCACCGTGCTAAAACCGTGGAAGTCAATCATGTTCACGGTCACGAACCTCGCCGAGAGAATGATATTTATGAGCTCCTCTGCACAATAAGTTTTGACTTATTCGGGGTCTGTCACAAGTAATGGAAGCACTACAATGACAATAATGATCTCGTTCGGAAAAGAACAGGCCAGCAACTCCTGAAAATAAGCGACAGTCCAACCACAGCTCAAACCCGTGCCCCAAGTTTGGGGCAGAGCGACACGAGCCCGCTCGAAATATAATTTATGCAAGGGGCTCTCTCCATGGCATAGAACGGGACGTCCAGCAGAGCCCGTCGCATTGCGGACCCGAATCAAAGCAAGTCACTGGGAGCTTAATGTCTCTGAATGCACCTGTCGCCTTATCCTCGATGAAATGTCTGACTTTCCCTGAAGAGCTTCTTTTCTCAAGTTCATACTACTCAAAATCGTCAGCGATGAACCTGTCAAAGCCATGCGCATCCAATCATCGCCACAAGGACTCCCAAGTTGCTTACCTTATTTTTGGGTTCTGAAGAGCGATCCTGAAGACATATGCGACATCTGCAAGAAGCGTGTGCGACGAACCCTTAGAATGGTCGGAGTGCAGACGAACTGAAGAGAACGTGTTGTTCAGAAGCTTTACATGTAGTATGTATATCTGTATATATATATATATACACACACACATAGTATACATATACAGTATACATATATAACCCCCAAAGCACCCCACCCCATGAAAACCAATTCGCAACTAGTTGTGAATTAATTGTATTTTCTCATGGATTCCGGCAGGGTAGTACTAGGCCAGACCTGCATTCCCTTGGAAAAAACCAATTCACAACTGTGTTTTCCTATGGATTCCGGCATGTTATAATAGCCCAAACCTGCATTCCCTTGGGAAAAACCAATTCGCAACTAGTTGCGAATTGTGTTTTCCTATGGATTCCGGCATTTATAATAGCCCAAACCTGCACTCCCTTGGAAAAAACCAATTCGGGACTTGCGAATTGTGTTTTCCTATGGATTCCGGCATATATAGCCCAAACGTGCATTCCCTTGGAAAAAACCAATTCGCAACAGTTGCGAATTGTGTTTTCCTATGGATTCCGGCATGTATATCCCATACTAGTACTAGCCCAGACCTGCATTCCCTTGGAAGTGCTCATGCTCTGTTTTTTGCCCTCCACTTCAGCAGCACTGCCGAGTTTGTATGCAAGACTTTGTCTTGCGTTACCGGAACTATAAAGCTCCGATTTCTGGGATCTGCATGGCTACGCAGATTCCTATTCCGGGCATGCTGCAGGCGAAGCCTTGCAGCATGCCGAGCCTTGCCAGCCCGCAGCCTCAGTCCATCTGCTGCACAGGGCTTGGGTCCCATTGCAGCATTGCCTGCGGGTCGTCGAGCTGGACCTGCTGCACAGGGCTTGGGTCCCATTGCAGCATT